TTAAGATGGTTCAAGAAGATTATCCGCTAGCCTCCAATGATGGAAGGCCTAGAGGGGGTGATAATGACTCTATAAACTCTCGTAAAGTGAGTCAGGTGGAGTCAGTATTGTCTGAAAATCTGAAGACCATCGCCCCTACTAATGCTAAGAAGGCCCAAATTCGTTCGAATATGGGTTACCGTATGCCACGGTATGGATACTTGAAGTCCTTCTGGTTACTGCCTCCTCAGTGGCAGAAGGAGAGACCTGATGATTTACCTACAGGTTCTGACGATTTGGCTATCAACGAAGCTCAATTAGAGTTCGTTAAGCACCGAGTGACTCAGGCTTCTGAGAAGCTGGTGAGCCAGATCAAGGAGCTCCAAGGAGGGCCCTATCAGGGTGCAGGTGATTCGAGATCCTGGCATGGAGTAGAACGTGAGATTGTAGACAATTTGAATCGCTCCTCTTTGACAATTGCGAGGATTCATTTGTTGTATCTCACTGATTGCGTGAACCCTACTATTAGCCAGAGAATAGTAGAAGGCTGGGTACTGACTCGTGGTTTGACGCTAACCCTGTGGATCTCTTGCTGGCTATGTGGAATATTCTGGACGAGTTGTTTCGTTCAGAGTCTACACCCGAAACTCAATGTGATAAAATGCAGAATGTGAAGAAGTCCACTAATGAGATTCTACCGCAGTTTATGTACAAGCTCCAGAACTTGTTTACTGGTGTCAAGATTGAGACTGGTCAAGAACTGGTTGATAGCACTAAGTTGACTCGTCTTCGTGGTGCGTTGCCTAAAGTGGACGTCCAGTTCCTAAGGGAGAAATTCCCTACTAACCTAACTTATGATCAGTTGGTTACGAGAGTTAATGAGTATTTCTCTAGTGCCATGGATTGTGAGTGCTATGAGAGGTTTGTTAAACAGTATAGGATGTTAAACGCCCCCGAGAAAGTTGATGGCTATGCTCATAACGATTTGAAGACGGTGGATACTGTGGTGGACGCTATGGAAGAAGCGCCTTCCGTTCAGGAGGGCAAATCTTCCAAGCGTGGAGAGAAGCCCAAGAAAGCTACTAAGAATGTCGTGGCCAATGAGGCGACGACGGCTAACTCTGGTGGCTCTGTAGGCTCTGGCAGTTGTCGACGTTGTAACTCTAATGGTCACAACGCTGAGAACTGCACTTCTGAGAATTTGTCTATCTTTCGTGGTCGCTGTTATACCTGTGCTGACACTAGTCATCAGGCGAACAAGTGCACGAAGGATAAATCTAAGTTGGTTTGTAAAAGGTGTTTACTTGGTGGTCATGTAGCAGACGTCTGCCGAGTGAAGTGGTCTTTTATACCTAAGTCACATCATCCCGATCCTTCAAGTTCTGGTGTCAGTCGACCTCCCCAGCCTAGTGGGAAGTTTGAGACTACTGTTAACCAGAAGAAGGAAGCTACGGATGTCTCTGCTAACTCTAATCTGTGTGAGATTGGTGACACACAGATGGAGAAAGCTGAGATCGGTGAGATCTACGAATGCCAGACTAAAGCCGTCTCGTGGCTGGATCTGAAAAAGGGTATGATATATGCCAAATTCAAGGTCTTCTGCGGGAACCCTTATGAAACTGTCGATATGTGTGGGTTATTGGATACGGGTGCTTATTTGAGCATCATCGACAACCACACGGTCGAGGAGATGGTAAGGAAGAATGCTGGACGTGTTGCTAAACTGCCTCAACCCTTAACTTGTACTATGGCTGATGGCAGTAGGCAAGTGATAACGGCGTTATCATAACGCACGCATGGCATTGTATGGTTCAGCAATTGACCAAGCCGGTTGATGGTGTTGGCCAATATGTTCAATCTGGTAGAGAAGCAAGGTTTATCATACTAAAGACTATCAAGAAGGACAAGGTTCTCATTGGTAGTGATCAGTTTGAAGACTTTGGCTTCGTTATCGGAAAGATGATTAATTGCAATCATGAGAAGAATTGCTTGTTGACTGACCCGTCTCAAGTCAATAAAATTATGGTGGAGGATTCTCATCGAGTGGTTATTCATTGTGACCATGTAAAGTCACAAATGGCTGACGTCGCCGATGAGATTAACGCCATTAAGGTCTATGAGCCCAAAACTTACGAGGGTAGAATGGCATCATTGGAATGGAGATCGTCCCAAAGGCCCCACAAGGCTTTCAAGGCTGCGGTCAAGAGAGCTAAGAGGTTGGAGTATTCGCTAAAGAGAAGAGGTGGCCAGGAACTGGTGAAAGCTTATAGTGACCAGTTCAAGCAATGGCTTGATAATGGGTTTATCCGTCCTGTCGACAATGAGGAGGTAAAGCATTTATTGTTTCATCACCCTGTGATAAGGGTGGGTCATCCTACTACTCCTGTGCGACCCGTGATAAACGG